GTGAGAGAAGAACAACCTTCAATCAAGAACATCTGGGATGCTCCGAGTATCTCAAACCCACTGTTGTAAGCTCCCATCATCTGTGTGATCACCGTGGAATCGTGGCTGTTGGTCTTCCAACACTTCTCTCTCACCCTTCCAACGTTTTGTTCTTCTAATTCTTCTCTCTCTTCATACCTCGTTCCCCGACGACGGACACATCTGCATGCAAGGATGATTGACACTGTACCACGGCCACGTGTGGGCAGGGTGTGCAGGAGCCCGAAGGCCTGTGGCATCCAATCACTCCTCTCAGATAACTCTGTAGGCAAAGCCCAGTAAATGAAGCGAAGCGTTCCTTCCTCGCTTCCTCCATGTACACAGTACGTTCCGGTGCAGTCATTGAAGCTTCGCTTCAATTATGGGTTAGCAGCCGCTCTCTTCCTAGCGACGCCTGACTTGCCGAAGCCACCGATGAGAACGTTATGGAACCAGAGTCCTCGAGACACAGTGGCGGTGGTGGTTGGCGGCACTCAGGAGCTTGCTTCATAGTCTACGAGGATATGTCTACAAGGGTACCGCACCCGAAAATTGCCGACTGGCATCCCCTCGGTCAGCCCGTCACCCGATGCCCCTTACGCATACTTGTAGGATTATTTACTCTCTATCCAGGACCTGCGAGAACCATTGATCCAGGTCGTCCAACTCTCTCTTCTCCTTGATGACGTCGTATGTGGAGAGCCGTGGTGGGTGCCCGGCTTCGACCACCGGTGTGAAAGGACGCCCTGGACTACCTTCGTTGATTTTGCCCATGTCCCAGCAACAGATAAAGGAGTCCTCCATCTCGCTCACCGCCTTGAGCAGCTGCTGCACCGACCAGGTAGGCGCTCGTCCTTCTCCCTGTTGCCGGAAGATGGGGTCCGATGCGCATAGGCAGTCCTGGAGATACGTATGCCGGAACGCCGCATGCTCGCCCTCATCGTACGGCGATGGGAGATAGTCCCCGGTCAGCCGCCTTCTCGTCCTGTGGTCGTCCCGTAGCTGCTGGGTCTCGTACGGGGACACCATCGTGGAGAACCACATCACTCGCCTCGTGAGGCCTCGTGCCAGGTGCGACTTGGTGAAAGCGAAGATGGACTGCGGGCCAGGGTAGGGAAGGATCCATCGGGTCACGAGGACCAGCTGCAGCAGGTCTTGGAACCATTCGTGTGCCGCTTCCTCCCCGAGGAAATGGCTGATCATGAGGAATATCCGCTGGGTCGCGACGCGGTAGTTGTTGGCCGACCAGCCGGAGCGCTGCTTTTTGTCTCGCCACTCGAACAGGAACTCGATGAGGCCGACCGGCGTGGTAATGGCGGATTTGTTTCCGACGACGATGTGGGGGCCGCAGGGGTTTTGGTCGTCGCCGATCCCGCGGTCGAAAAACAGGCTGGACATGCTGTCCCAGCAAAAGGTGGGTGGGTTCCCCGCCGCCAACGTGGTGGCGGCCGTCGGCGTGAGCTCTTCGTACTTTCTGTTCTGCTCGTGCACCTCCTGCCAGACATCGAGGTCGAACTGTCGGAGGACCAGGCAGTGGAGGAAGTCGAGCCAGGTCGCTAGCGCGGCGGGGCGGGCCCGGAGGTTGTGATCCTGAAACCACGTTTGGGCCTGGAGCAGCTGGACGTGTATGTTGCGGACTTCGCGGACGGCCTTCCACCGTCTCCGGTATTCGGCGTGGAGGAGGAGATTGCCGACCAGGAGCCGGCGGGTGATGGGGCCCCGAAAGCGCCAGGACTCCCACTGGAAGAGCCCAGCACGCCACCACCCAAACCCGTGTCGCTGCATCGAGCGGTACATGCCGAGACCGGTCCGCTGCCGCTCTCGTCTGCGCAGGCCGTTGGCGTCGGCTGCTTCGGCCGCGGCACCGGCGCCGTCGCCCTCTTCGGCGTCCTGCTCTTGCACCTCGTGGGGGACCCATTCTACCTGCGTCCACTCGTCCCCGAAGAGGACGGGTTCCTTGAACAAGGGATTGCTGTCGTAGCAGTACCGAAGGCCTCGGAGGGCGATTACCATGGGGACCGTCTCGGCGAGGGAGAACATGGGCCCCGCGCGGCCGAGAATGTACTCGAACAGGAGGCAGTGGCGATTGATCTGCCCTCGGAGGAAGTGGAGGACGTCGTCGGTCGGGACGGAAAACCAGGGCAGCGAGACATGCTCACGCGTCGGGAGGACGACCGAGTCCCAGTCCGCCAGGACCTGCCGCAGGAGCGGGAGGGAGATGCGATGCTCTTCGCGGGTGCCGAACGAGCGGTTGTGACACTCGCGGAGGTTGAGGGAGGCCCGCTGCTTCGAGAGGACGTAGGCCTTCTTGAGGGCTGCTTGGTCAGCGACGGTGGCCCGGCCCGCACGGCGGAGCTGCCGCAGGTACACGGGGTCGATCGCGAGATTTTCGTACACAGGGGGCTGCAGGGCATAGACCTTCTGGGCATCGAACGGCGCCTTGATGAGGTTGTAGTACTGCGAGTAGACCAGCCCGCCCGTGACCTCGACACCGTTGGGGGCGGACGTCATGGTGATGTTGCCGACCTCGTCGGTCATCGCCCAAGGGTAGAAGGCGATCAGAGGCTTCCGGCGGGGCTGCCTGCTATCGTCTTGGATCCTGCGGCGCTTTGGGTGGTTGAAGAGCGTGCGGCCACGTGCGATGCTGTGTTCTTGCCAGTCGTGGCGGTCTCGGTCCTCCGCTGGATTGACGTCGGCGTCTTCGTCCGCTTGCCGTGGACGCTCTCCTTCGCTGGGAGTTCCGTCCCGCGAGTCGTTTTCCCGTGCGTTGTCGGAAACGGCTTCTTCCTCGGCCGCTGCGCACTCGGCGAGCCATCGTTCTCGATCGTCGATCGCGGCTTGCAGGCAGCATTTGCGGTATAGGAAGGTCTCGGCCGGCCGCTCGCCGGTGTCAAAGGGGAGACCGCAAGCTTGGGCGGTCGTCTGCTTGCCGAGGTCGACGAACACGCGCTGCGGGTCGAGAAAGTCCTGGCCGAAACATCGATCCCAGTGGCCTAGAAACTGCTGCACGACGGTAGAGAGGGCACCGTCCAGCGCTGCGGGGTCGCCGGACGCTCCGGAGGTCATGAACTGGATCTTGGTGTTCTTGCAGGTGAAGTAGACGACAAAGTCGCTAAAAAGCTCCTCGCACTCGGGGTTTTCTTGGATCTTGGCTGCGATCGCGGTCGTCAACCTCCGGATGGTCGGGGCGCCGAGATGCAGGCCGACGATCTGACGCCGAGGGACTACGACGTCGCTACTACTACCCGTCTGCGAGGTGGTAGCGGCGCTGGGGGCGCGGGCGGCATGCTCTGCCGGCGCGGAGCTTAAGTGGGCTGCGGCGCGACGGGACTGCGGGAGGTGCTGAAGGATGTTGGCATCGGGGACGGCTCGGCCGTTCTCATCCCGCGTGGTAGCGGCGTCTAGGAGGGCGGGGAGGACGACGGCATCCGTCCAGAGAGAGAATTGGTCGGCCGACATGAGCGTCGGGTCCGCGGGCCCGGCCCGGCCCGCCAGGGGGTCTTTATACAGGCGAGGGAAGAAGATGTACACCATCATGACCTCCCAGCCGATGACCTGACCAAAGGCGTAATGAGGGATGGTGTGGAGAGGCACGACTCGCCACTGGCCGTCGGGCGATGTGGCGGCGGGTGGGACCGAGAGGCCGAGGTGGACGTTGGACCTGATGTTGAAGTTGGGGTACATGTCCGGAAACCACCGGATCCCTTGGCGGGCGGCCGCGAGAGACGTGCCAAAGGCGCACACGCTGTCGACGTCAAACGACGTTAGGAAGGGTTTGGCGTTGCCAGTGGTCTGGCTGTGGTGAGTCGACATGCAGAGGCGTGGTGGCGCGTCACCCGCGCGTCGAGCATCGTACCCTTCAAAGGCAATGCGGCATTCGAGGCCCGGAGGATAGCTACGAAGCCCAAGGCGCCCGGAGTCCAGGGCATTGGGGAGGGTGAGCCCCGTGCCGTCCTCGTCCAGATCAATCGGCTCGGCGTCGCCTGGAGCGAACGGAGGGAGATCGGAAGACGGACGGGGGCGGCTCCAGAGCGTGTCGGCAATGTCGCGGAGGGAACTGCAGGTCGGAGAGACATTGTCGTGAGCGTGCAGAGCGAGGTGCTGCTCCGTCGGCCCGTCGGTCAGCTGGTGCTGCCCGGCGGGACACGACGGAAAGCGCTTCAGGCTCTCGATCAGGTAGATGTGCAATGGTTTCCGAGGTGCCAGGCGTGCTGCATCTACGGAGGGATGTCCTGCGGCCGGTAAGGATCGCGACCCGCCTGCAGGAGGGGTCCTTCGAACTGGTGCCGGACGCGCTGCTGCGGCGGTGGCGTCTCGGACGGTCGGTGCCGCAGTCGTTGCGCCTGCGACGGCTTCGGCCTCGTCGGGATTGGAAGTCTGCGACGTGACGGGGAGGGGTGACGACAAGAACCCTGTGGCGCTGCCGAGGTCGGGAGGCAGCGATGCACTGCGACCGTCATCACTCCGCCGGGTCAGCCTGGCGGTGGGAGAGGCGCTGGCAAACATGGCTTGGATATCGCGAGTGCCGACCGCAGCGCGCTGCAACGAGGCCGATGAGCGGCTCTGTCGCAGGCCTTGCAGTGCACGGACCGGCGTCCGCGGCGAAGCCGAGTGCTGGTGGGAGCGGTTTGTGCTGCTCTGGGCCAGACTGTCCGCGCCGAGGGCCAAGGTTGGGCTGGGCTGTGGAGAGGCTCGTCGGGATGGGCCACCCCGTGGAGGCTGCGAGTTGGGGTTCGGTGATACGGTGCGTAGTTGTCGTTCGACAAGTTCGGCAAGCTGCGCCTCGGTCTCCTCCCGCTCTTCCAGCTGTGAAGCGAGTTGTTGGGGGTCTGTGCCGGCTGGAAACAGGTCGTCGAGATAGAGATCTTGGAGTTGTGGGTCTCCGCGCTTCGCATGATCCGCCGGAACGAATGTCGAGCCGCTAGTGCTTGCGGCAGTAGGAAAACCGAACTCGTTGAAAGTCTGCTGGTGGGCCTGGGGCTGCGACGCATGCCGTTGCGGCTGGCTTCGAAGAGATGGTAATGGCGGTGGCGGGAGTGGTGGGACGGGTGCATGGTGGTCGGCTGGGAGTGGCGTTTGACCATCGGTAATCAGGCCGACAGAATGGTTGGTGGTATGGAGCTGAGTCTGTGGCGGAACTGGCTGGTAATAGCAGATGGTGAGACCATCGGCTGGGGCAGCTGCTCGTCGGGCGCGATACCGTCGCTGAGCCTCTCGATGCGCGGCACGCCTGTCTTCTTCAGAAGCATGTTTTGGTGGGCGAGGCATTGTGACGAGACAACCGTTTGCACGAGGTAGATTGTGCAGTCAACGTGTTGTGGAGAATCTAAGTGCGAGAAAGCGGGCATGCAGTTCCGCCGAAAACTCAGCTCATGCCACCAGCCGTCCTGTCGGCCTGATTACCGTGGCAGGCGCAATAGAGAGATCGAGTATGCAAAATCGTGTCGGTGTGGTGGAGGTTTTGCCGAACGGGTGTCCATCACCCGGCAGTGCGGCGGTTGCCGTAAACGGGTTTCCATCACCCAGCAGTGGGACGTAGTTGCTGTCGGAACCACTACGGGGCAAACGAAGGTAAAAACGAACAGTGGTCGCATGTGACGAATCTCGGTCCCAAACCACTGAAAGGGACTTCTTGAAGGTATCTCTTGACAACGGGATGAGGTTCGGTGGAGTCAAAAGGTTCACAACAAGCAATGTCAAAAGGTACTGACAATCTTGCACTTGAATTGCTTACTGGAGAACTCCCAAAGCCCTCCAGAATGAATGACTATATACTGTACTAACTGGCTATTCTGTCTGTTGCTGGGATCGGTGGGACCGCTCGACGTTCTCCCCGTTCCTTTTAGGAACGTTGCCAAGTCCTGGCGTCCCACTCTGATTGGTCTGCAGCCCCGGTTTCAATGAATGGTTCGGGGCGTTTCCCGTGCGCCCCTTCGGGTCGTCGCACATGGCCGAGTCGTGACATCGCAGAGTGTCACGACGACGGCAATTGGTTGTCCATGGTATTAATTGTGTTCTGTGTTCTGTGCAAACTGTCAGATGTTCCGGACAGCCTCCAAGGTGTCCATCACCAGCGACATGTGGGTCCGTCTTCGCACCCCTGGATGAGAGTTCACGTTCCAGGAGTTGCCGGAAACGGGTTTCTATCACCGGGGAAGTGAAGTGGAGGGGTTTCTATCACCGGAGTGGGGCGACTGCCGCAAACGGGCTTTTATCACCCGAAAGAGTGGGGCAATTGCCGAAAACGGCTTTCTATCACCCAAGAAGTGGGGCAATTGCCGAAAACGGCTTTCTATCACCCAAGAAGTGGGGCGATTGCCGAAAACGGATTTCTATCACCCCGGGGCCCGCCGTCGCGGGCCAGCGGTCTTGGCAGCCATCTATCTTCAACCTCAATCGGCACTTTGAAGAGCAATTGCTCAACAGCCAAGACACTTAACAGAATGAAAACACATCGATTGAAAATCTCAGGTGATTCTGGTATAATTGTCGTTTTTGTTAAATAATTCTTTGCTGATTTGGTCTAACCCTAAGCCCCTATATGGTGAGGGACTCCTAATCCACGATAATTAATATCGAAACTCATCTCTACCCTTTCTATACTTCAACCTTTTCTCCCCTATATACTCCATATCCTTCCCCCCTAAAAAATCGCCCTCTATCCTTCAACCCTTTTCCGTCCTATCTCCTTTTACCCTACCCTCCCCTTATTGCTTTATATCTACCCCCCTTTTCCTCCTTCTCCAACCATTATTTCTTCTTAAAATCGTTATCTTCTTCATTCCAATTCTCCTTTACTACTTGTTCTGCCTTCATTTCCAACTCTCATCCTCAATACCTTTCAATTTCACTTCACCCCATCACTCCTTCATTTCCATCGTCAATCATATCACTATCAACCATCTTTTCATCCCAAATTCATACACCATACAACTCTTCTTTCTTTTCTCCCTCTCTTTTTTTCTCTCAACCCTCTTCTTTTTCCAACCTATTTCATGCTTATCTTCCTTCTTTCAACCTTCTTCCATTCTATCGTTTCCTCCTTTTTTTCCCTTCCCTATACCTCTTTCTCTCTTTTTTTTCCTCTTTTTTTCCTTCTTTGTTTCCTTTGTATTGATTACTGCACTCGCCTATCTATTAAGCCTATCTCGCCTGATCTCCTCCGTATAATTCCATAACCTCTATGTTACTTAAAACTCTACTACTGCTTGAACCCTCAACATACTAACTCCGAATCCTAATACGTTCTTCGCTGTAAATATCTATGCTATACTATACCTAAACTTAACTGCTTGTGAAACCTTAATTTCATATGTCTATTCCAACGATACACTTATCTTACTCTTCTAACCCCATCCTTATTTTTCTATTATATCCCTAACTTTATTATCGTGTACAACCCTAACCCTGTTTTTCATTCTAATCCTAACCTTATTCTTCATTTCAAACCCTAATCTTGGTTTTCAAAACAAACTCTAACCGTGTTTTCTACTCTAACCCCGATCCTGTATTCCTTTCTAATCCTAATCTTATCTTCCTCTTGTTTTCCTAATCAAACCCTAATCTTGTTCTCTATTCTACTCCTAATAATTTTGATACTTGTTGAACTTTAACCATATTTTTCTTCTAAACTCTAACTAATATAATTTTTCCTAATCTCTAACCTTATACTATAATTCTAACGCTGATTTCCTCTTCTCTGCTAACTTGAATCTATTTTCATTCCTAACTCTCCTTTACCATTTATCGCTAATTTGATCTTGTTCTTCAATTCTCACTCTAATCTTATTTTAACTCTCTAATCCAACTATATTTTCCCTATTCTACCTCCAACCTTGCTCTTCTCTATATTCCAATAACTTTACTCTTTTGTAATTTAAATATCAATCTCTATATGTCTATCATTGCTTGATACTCGCCTACTTCACCTCCACTACTCCCGTCTAATCAAACCATTTAACTTACTGGTGGTGTTTACTTACTAAATCGAATCTATTCTTATTCTACTCTTTCTCATTCCTAATCTCCTTATCCTCCTACTCCTTCTTATACTTCGCTCTTTTCTACTTTGACCTCTCCGCTATCTCCTCTATTGGCTTCCCACTCCGGTAATATGATACTACCTGTACTATACTCGCCTTACTCGCCTCTCTAATGCGCCTATCTCGCCTACGTCCCTCCGTAATCTCGCAACCGCCATTCTGCTCTGACCTATACTACCGCTCGCATCCTCGGTTATATCGACTTCTAATCCTAACGTATTCATTGCCCTATATATCTACTCTCTATAATTTTTATTTCAACACATGTACTGTTACTAACTAACGTACTTGCATAACGAGTGGCGCAGCATAACGAGTGGCGCACTTTCTTCCTCCAACAACCACCTAACTTCATCACGAAATTTCTTCCACAACACAACATGGAATCTCTTCCAAAAGAAAGTCGTATGATCCTTGCGCTCGAAGCTCTTAAAAATGACCCTAATCTTTCCGTACGAAAAGCTGCTACAATCTACGAGAT